GGGTCGTTACAGAAAAGAAGAAAGAGAAAAACAAAAACCAATTATGATCAAGGCAAAGGTATCACTATGGTTTTTGTTTTGCCAATCAAGACACTATAGAGGGTATGATTAGGTTTAGGATAGATAGTCATACTATGAAGAGGGGATAATCATGGTTAAAATGGTTATCAAGTGCACTAGGTGAAGTGATTCATGCATATGTATTAGAACCTAGTGTGCTAATAATTAACCCTTGAAAAATGCTTTCAAAAATGCTAACACACGTGCACTATGGTGAGACACTTTGTGGTTAGCAGCTTGGAAGCAAGGGTAAAGAGGTTGAAGAGATAGAAATTGAAAAGGAGTTGAAAAGAGCAACCGGACTCAGGGCTTAGGGTGGTCCGGACCAAGGTGGTTGGGTCCAGTACCAAATCCTGGCCTACGGGCCAGTGACGGAGCTAGGATTTTTTCGAAGGGTATGCCGAACAAAAAATTATATATGCAAACCGGTAAAATCCATTTAGCAATTCGATATAGTATCATAAAAATTGCCACACAATTCGGCACACAATTACTAAATAGCATAATAAGTCTTAAATGAAGATAGAAATAGTTCAAATAGCACACTAATAGTTTAGAATATGCATGAACGAAACTTGACCAAATAAGATTACAGCACTACTTTTTGGGCCTACGCTTTCTAATGGGCATGAAAGTCTTGATTACATCGTCTTCATCTACTTCATCCAAAATGTCTCTCTCAATGAACGTGACAAGGCAATCATCTAATAGATTATCAGTCATCTTGTTTCTCCGCTTGGTTTTGACAAAAATCCATTCTAGAAAATGCCCTCTCAACACTTGCTGTCGCCACCGGTAGTAGTAATCAACTAATTCGTCCCTATTCCCTAATTCCAGTTCTCACTGCCTACAACAGTACAACTACACAGCTTACAGCTACATCAATTGAAGAATTGAACTAATTTAAGCAGAAATTGAACAACAATCAACAGTTAGGGTTAGAGATTTGGGGAAATTGCTTCAGCGTTCAGCAGTACCTTTGTTTCAGCAGGGAGAGGGAGCCAGGAGGGGACGCTAGTCGCCGGACGCCGGGAGATGCGACGCAGGGAGTGAGGGAGAGGGAGGGGACAGCTGGGGCTGGACAGGGAACCACCGCGCCAGGCGCCTCTAGCCAAGCACGGGCGCAGGGCGTCGCACGGCTCCGGTAGCCGCTAGCCGATAGCGGCGAGCGCTGGCAGCTAGCGGCCGGGGAGGCTGGCCGATGGCGGCGGGGGCTGCGGGGTGCGGGTGACGAGCGAACTCACGCGGAGCCACCGACGGGGCTACGGGCAACGTGTAGAGGAGAGCACAGGCTCGTTTTGTTTTTTTACAGAGGGGTACCTCCATTGTTGGGCTAGGCTTAGGGTATGCCATGCCATACCCGGATAGCCCATTGGCTCCGTCCATGCTACGGGCTCAGCTGGACAGGCTCCGGACCCTGTTCTGCAGGGGTCCGGACCCAAGTTCCAGATTCCATTGGGACTCGATGTGGCGCAGCTCTGCAGCAAGCAGCTCCGGACCTAGGCGAGCAGGGGGTCCAGACCAGGGATGGCGCATCCAGTCGAGGCACGATCAGAGAGGGTGGCGACATGGTGCACTGTGGTGCTCCGGACTCTGACAGTTCAGAGTTCGGACGTCTTGGCCGGACCAGGACCGGTCACTTTGGAGCTCTCTGGTTGCTCTCTGGAGTCAACCAGACTTGTGCGCACTGAGGGTCCGAACGCTGGTGAGTGAGTCCGATCCAGAGCGCGTGAGTGAGACGTTAGCGCGGCAACGGTAGAATTTGAATGAGTCTTACGTGGCACGCGGTGATGGTTGGACGGGACCTGCACTGTAGCGGTACGGACCAGGGTCCGGTCGCTGGTTCCGGAGCCCCCTTCGCGCATAACGGCTAGTGAGCCTTTGGGGCTCTATAAATAGAAGGAGGTCGGCTCTAGCTCATTCTCTTGGATATTTTGATCATCCATATATTCATTTGAGCTAAGCCAAACCTCTCCCACTCAATCTCTTGCTTGATTGTGCATCCAAGTGAGTTGGGAGTGATCCAAAGTGCATTTGCTTGAGTGATTGCATCTGGTGGCACTTGGGGATTGTTCTAGCTACGGTTTTCTTGTTAGTCTTGGTGATTGCCGCCACCTAGACGGCTTAGAGCAGTTTGTGGTGATTGGCACGAGGTGGAGATTGTTCGTGGCCATCTTGATCGTGATTTGTGAGGGGTTCTTGGGCTTATTCCCCGGCGGAGCGCCAAAAGCACCTCTAATGGATTGCTCGTGACATTGAGTGCACTCATCCTGTGTAGGTTCTTGCGGTGCCCATTTGTTGGGCTTGGCGTGGTGCCAATTAGCTTGCGAACCACCAAGTGAATCAGCCGTCACAACGATAACTAGCTTGCCGGCAAGAAAGTGGACCTTGGGATAAATTATGTGTCAATTGGCTCTTTTTGTTTTCACTTGATGATCATATATTGTCTCTTGCCACGTTTAGTATATCATCTCTATCACTCTTTGTATTTACTTTCATATACTTAAGTAGTGGTGGTGGTAGTGGTAGTAGCTTATGTAGCTCTCTTGTGTAGTGTAGAATTAGTTAGCTAGTTAGCTTCCTTGTTAGAAATAATTAGTTATTGCTAGCTTACTAGTTTAAAGAGCAGAGATATATCTTTGTGTGCCTAGAGATCATACTTGACTAGACTGGTGGATAGGTGGCTTGCAACCTTTGTGTAGAGCTAGAGCAAAAAGTTTCGCTTTTTATCTCACTAACTAGTTGCTCGCTTTTTTTTCTCACTAACTAGTTGCTCTAGTATTTTGTAAAAAAAATTATAGGCTATTCCCTCTTTCCTGCAGCCATTTAGGACCTCTCAGTTAGTTGTCGACGAAACACGGGGCGGTGGCCGGTGGGTGCAGGGTGCAGCGCGCACCGCTCGGCGGAGAACACCGCGTTAATGTCATCTGACACTTTCTAAACTATTTTCGAAGCTGCGTGAGCTACTCAAGAAGGCGACCGTGACCTGCCAGAGCCAAAGGACCATGAGGGCAACCCATTTGTGTGAGCAGATTCATGTTCGGGTCTCAATTTTTGAATAGCATGATCTGGGGAAGTTAGATGTAGTTTGGTTTGATGTAGAAAACATCAGAGGATTATGTTAAAGTGATGATTGATTTCTGTCATGTATTTCTTTTGCTGCTGATGTATCGCCTATCATGCAATATTTTTAATTGAGGATCGTTGACATGTCGTTAACCATTTCTACTCTATTCTTCAGTCATTAGGCAGTTGGTACGTATTCAAATTGCTATGCAGTAGTTTAGCTGCAAAACATGCTTTTCTGAATTCAAATTCTTTTGCTTGATAGTGCAACACACACTTTTACCATGTGCTAAATTTTCGTCCGGTTAACTTTGGTTTCACATCTCTGTTTTGCAAGGGAGCGAGGGACCAAATTCATATATGTTTCACTTATCTTGCATTTCCTGCACATAATAATGTTGATGTGGAGTCTTTGTTCTCTATAGAGTTACAATATCCATTTAAAGGGTTTGCTATATAATCAGGTATCACTTGCTATCTCAAGAAAGAGTTTTCTTTTTTTGGCATTCATATGGGTTAATTGGATCTATGCCATTGTACATGTTTCACTTTTGGAATATACTATTACTATTCATCTACTTGGAACTATGTCATTACAATTTGAAGTGATTTGAGTCATGCCATTTTCTATATACGCTAGCGAAGACACTAGGTCCACATGCAGCACATTGTATTTTCGTATAGCCTAGAATGTCCCCGTTATTGCTACTCCTTCCACTTGCTGACTGCGACACCCAGGCCAATTTGGATGGCCCAGTAGTGGCCCATGTGTGGTTATGCACAAGTTTAGTACCACATTGCTAGTAAGCGAGGGTGGAACCAACTTATAAGACCTTGTCCTCCAGCTATAGCATCTTTGGGTTAGCTGTTTTACACGAAGCGAGAATGAAAATGTAAGTAGAGTGGCACATGCCTCAGAAGGTATGTGGGCACATGCCTCACAAGGGTCTTATAAGGGAACATGAGGAAGAACATTACTCATTATTCATCCTAATTCTAAGTTGTTAGTCGTTTTAACTTTTCGGTCTTATAAGCGAACATGAGGAAGAACATTACTCATTGTTATTCATCCTAAGTTGTAAGTCGTTTTAACTTTTCGCCACTATGATACATAGTAAAAAATTGCATCTAAAAATTCAAAACAACATACAATAGATTGCAAGTCAAAGCAACTTACAATGGAAGTAGCAGTTGCAAATCACTGTTCACGCTCTCACAAATTCCTCCAGATTTTTCTCAGCAAACAGGGCCAGATTACTCGAGGACTGACCATTGCGGACAGACATCAGGGCCTAAAACCAGCAATTTATATCTTTGAGGCATGCATGGGCAGCAGCCCTAATGAATAGGGTTATTGTCAACACAGTAAACCTACAACAGCTGATATTTCTTTTGTACACATGGCATGGTGACTCACACCTTGTACAGTACAAGAAAACGCAATATTCCTAAAATCCTGTCTTGTTCACAAGAAATATTAGTTCCTTTGTTGGCTCCAACATCAGTTGCTTCTAGTTTGCTAGTTCGCTGAGAGGAAATGCACTCGGGCGAGGGGATACTCCTTCCCAGATACCCACACACCGGTCCGTGACCACTGCACGTCCTCCCATTCTTGGTTATCCTGCAATACCTGTATCATTGCCAGAGGTAAGTCGTGTTCTTGTCTACTCAAGGCTTCAGGTCTCATCCACCGATAAAGTAGAAAATACCTCTAGCTGGTCTGCTGGTAGTGGGATACCGATGGAGCGCATGGCACTTTCAGGCATGGCCTTCTTACAACGGGACCATCAGAATACATCCCGGAGTTCATGCTCCACATAGCCTCTGTCACCATTCTGAGAATGGTGACTACTGCTCTGGTGTTTCTCCGTTTCTCATTCAGATGCATTGGAGCTTGATCCAATAATACGAGGCTTCTCTCCACTGAAGCACAGTTCATACCTGTGTAAACTTGTAACAAAATTGAAACACTGAGTTCCATCAAAGTAAAACTTGGGAATCAATCAAAGAAGCAATGAACAAACCATCACAACTAAATAAAAGTAGTAGCAAAACCCTGTACCTATTAAACTGTGTTTCTAAATATATGACTTCTCCTTTCTTCAGTCTAGCAGAAGTATACAGAGACTTTTTCAATCCCTTATCTGCCACAATGCTTATACTATATTTTAACCTGAAGAACGCAAAATGTCATATCATAAGCATCCTAAAACTAAACAAGAGAACTACAAGAGAACACTTCCAACAAGTAGACAAGAGCCTATTGCGTCAAGAGCTAGTACAAATGGCAATACTGGTGACGGATAGGGGACAATCATAGTGAACTACAAATGAGATCTCAGAATGCAGGTCAGGAAGGTACCATGGCTCATTGCACAGATTGTACTGTATAGTCACTTCACGGACAAATCTTTGTTGACGCAGTGCATTCTGTAATAAACCATGTTGGAAAATTCTTAGTTTAGAGTAGAGAAAAGTTTGCTGGTCACGAAACCTAAAACAGACAAAGAAACATTGATTCAATTGGGAATGAAACTGTGAGAGAAAAATAAAGGAAATCAAAAGAAAATTACGGAAGCTGCAGCTCTTGTCGTCATTGTACGCTCAACTGCAACTGGGGCGAGAGTAGGCTCCACAGCTGATGTGTGGCTAAGACGTGGCTCAAGATCAATGGTGCCACCACCTTTCTGAAAAAGCATGTAAAAGATGCTAGGCAAACATTCCTTGAAATAGGACTAGTAAAATGTCTCTAAAGGTAACCGCATCAAGAGTGTACAATAAAAACAGGAGGCATGGTAATCTTCTATACTGCCTGCATCCTTCATACCTTGACAATGCAGCAGCGTTCAATCTGAAAGCTACAACCAATCCCAGCACCCCAAGCACGTGAGCGCACATTGTTCCTCAGTGTTGAAGTATAACCTGGGACAAATATCAAGCTTTATGAGTAAGTTCATTCCAACCAAGTTTGACTGAACTGTCACGAAATGCATGGAAACTTACTCTCTTGTGGTGGTAGAACACGAATAGTTGCATGCTCTTGAATGGCAGATGGTGGAGGGGAGGATGTAGGGGAGCAGTACCCAGTATGCATTAGCACTAAAAGAAACACACATTAGTACATAGGAAAATTTTCTGAACTATTTAGAAGCTTGCAACAGTAAACAGGAATCTACCAGCCACAAGATCTGAATCATTTGTATAAACATCTGTTCCCCAAAGTTGAGCACCTTTTACCTGCACAACAGTGATCTTGACAAATGAATAAAGGAGATAAACGAGTAGAGTGCAAGCTTGGAGGATAAAATTTCAGAAAAGTGCAAGATAAATGGAAACATGATGGTATGCTAGGTGCAGCCGTGAGGCAAGTACCAAGCATGTGTCCATAACTAATAACAACCAAGTGAAGCCTAAACCCTAAACCCTAAACCCTAAACCCTAAAAGCATGTGTCCACTAGTAGTACACATAACAGAATTGCTGACAGAGCTTCAGTCTCAACATGGAGAACTGAGGTATCCGAAGTGACTAAAACAGAGATTGTCTCCAAATCTGTTCACTAACCTGACGATTAGTCGAAGTAACAAATTCTGCAGGTATTCGAATTTCAAGAGTAGGACCATGTTGTAGACTTTCAGCATTTGTAGCATCCTGAGTTACATCAAACTCTTTCCATGATTTCAGAAGCTCCTGCATGCACTCCCCGGCTTTATAAACAATGGCAGACACCTCAGACTTACCTGCAATGAAGAGAAGGCTGTAAAGTTTACAGAGGTACCCCATAAACAATTTCTTTTTTCTCGAACACGCAGGAGAGCTGCATATCTTTTATATCAAGAAGAAAAAAAAGGGGTATGAGAAAACCCCAAAACAACAAAGATAACACCTCAACACACCCCAACACACACAGCCACAACAAGCCCACACAAACTATCAAACAAAAATTCCCAAACACACACAGAGACAACAAACCCACACACCCACTCACAAACTAGGGTGAACGACCAACGAACCAAGCAATTAGGCAACACCAAGTATCCGTTCAGTCAACAAGGCTATGCCCTTCGCACCCGCAAGACCCCATAACTTTGCTTCTTCGTGGACTGAAGCTAGGATACCCTGAACCCCATAAACAATTCCATGCACATTGCAACAGGAAACTCGTCATTTATACAGACAGTGGACCTGATATAGAAAGCATGCATGAATCGGCATTAGGAAGGTTATGAGCCTTAGCAAGGTTAATAGGATTAGGTGGAAAAACACTAAGATAGCAGGGTAAAGACCGCCCCCACGGTATTGTATGGAAGAAGAAACCTCAGCTTTCAATCGATCAAGAAACCTCCCAATCCCTGACAGTGAAGATCCGATAGCGGCCCCTCCATACCCAAGGCCAGTGGCCACAGCCACCCACCTAGTTCGGCGCCCTGCCACTACCCCCTGGTAGGACCACATGCTCACACAGGCTGACTGCCACCGATACCTTAGGCTGGTGGTGCCCAGCCACTATTTTGTGTTGCCAGCAAGGGATGTTTTTTAGCCAGCCCTGAAATTCACTCCCACAGGAAGTTGAACCCAGGTGCATGAGGTGCTACTCAGGAGTCACGACCACTAGGCTATGAACCCTTACGCTACTAGGATTAGGAAGGTTATCAGTATTATGAAAGTTATCTTTATGAGCCCAAATTATCCTAGTGCTGTGGAGCTAGCTGTTGGCAGGCAGCAACAGGAAACATAGAAAGCCTGTCATATGGTTGCAGAAAGTAGCGGTTGGTTATGCGGCTGGTTTTAGTGGGGCAGTGGTGTTTGATGGCAATAAATTGATGCCGCAAGCAGCAGCATAGGAGGGCAGGTGGCACACCGTTAAAAATGGAGGGTGAGTGCAGCTAAAGTACAGGAGGGCAACTGTGGAGAGGCGGAGATCAGCTGCAGAGGAATCGGTAGCAGAGGGACTTCAAGGGTAGGGGCAGCAGCAATTTGACAGTTGGTGCAAGCTTGATGCAGGTAACAAACAAAGCTGAGGCAGTGGGGTAGAAGGACAACACGCAGAGGCATCATCCGATTTGTTGGGATCAGGAGGGCCATTGTGGTTGCTGGTGGTGGCAATTTGAAGGCTTCTGGGCAAAGGCAGCAAACGAATAGCAGCTGCAGGGGTGAAGTGAGCACAGGCAATGAGCAGCAGCAACAGATACAGTGAAAGCACTGGCCCTGGAAACTTGTTACGGATGGGAGGCAATATACAATGTCACTCTAATACCAAAGATTATGCAACCAGATGAATACAGTGACAGGGGGACTGATCACTCTCTAATCTTCAGGCTTCTCCTGTCGAAAAGATGCTCTGATCATAGCAGATTGTGGGGAAAGCCCTATAACAGATTCTCTTGATTCCTTCCTGTACCTTGGACGCATGGCCTGTCTTTGTAGTTTTAGAAAGTGGAATACAGCAACCATCCTTAAACTTGTCCTGGGATGTCATCTAGATTCCTGGACTATTAATTTAAGGTCCTGAACTTGCCCAGTAGTTCATCAGAGGTTCCAACTTTCCTAATCAGTTATATTCTACATACTTGGCATCTCTTAACATTGTCTTCTACTACTTTCTGTGTTCTCTCTCCATTTCGTACCTTGCTAGCATCCACGTCAACAGGTTGTGGACCTCGGGTGAACTAGTTATTAAGTTCAAGAATATGCAACTGCAGATAATAGTTTGGGGACCCAAATGACATCCGCAGATAAAATTGAGGTACCACTGCTGCATATTACTCTTTTCAGAAACTGGACAGCAGACCACATCCAACTTGGACTCCTATAAGCATATAACTTCCCTAACACTAAACAACCTTCCTAAAACTAGGACAGCATTCCTCATACTATTAACCTTTTATAATACTAATGCATGCATGGTTTCCATAACAGTACCCATTTTTTCACAGCTGTGTTTAGCAAGCTAAAAAATGAAAAGCACACTAAAACATGCATGCACTGTAAAATGCACTGCTTCCAACACAAAATGAAAAGAACTTGCATTTCTTCCAACATAAAAAATATAAGCAACTTCTAATATTGGGTGAAAGTTTGAGTTGCAAAGTCTTCTATAAAGGAAATGGAAGATGAATATTTACAGAAGTAGATCTTTTGATTACTCCAGTTTCAAAAGGAAGCACCAGTATACATTGTATTCAGCTCTAAGAATGTAGATATTTGACTGACCTTGAGACCTGCAAGACAGAAAAAAAAAAGAAATAAGATATCAATGACTATCACTCATTAACAACCTCTAACAAAGTAAACATTAGGTCCCTATCTTCAGTTCTCAGCTAGCAAAGACTGAATTTCCAGAAATGGAAAATGTCATGCAACTGCATTTACTTTATCATGCTATTGGAAAATTTGTGAAAGTATTGCAAAATGCAGCATCAAGCTTACCCTTCACCATCACGCATTCTGGACCGAAATCTAGGTTCACGCTGAGATGCTTGACTACCTCCCCTCGATCGCACCATCCTCCTGCGTTGGACTCTTCCAAAAACTTCATTATCTTTCTCCATATCTCCTTCAGTGCCATTGTCATCTGATTCCTTATCATTATATTTGCTTCTTTGCTCAAGCCGGTCCCCTGCATCCACATCCTTCTCTCTTTTCTTGTCCTTAGGATCCCTATCATGAGCTTTCCATACATCATCCTAGCATCAGCTTTTGTCTCGCGGTCATATGCCTTATTGTCCCGTGCATCTTTATTTTGCTTTGACTCTAACCTGCTGTCAGAGGAGATGGGGTGGTCAGCAAAGTTGGTGGAGCCAACAGGCATCCGATGTGGTACAGATGGCCTCTTATCATCACGAGGCTCCACACGTTGAATTTTGGCAAATCTACCATCATGTTCAAAAGAACCATGGAAATCACTGCCACTGGACTGAATAACTTTCCCAGGACTCGAATACAAGCTGCTGTCATCCAAAGGACGTTTTGTCTGTGTGGAGTGGCTACCCTCCTCGCTCATTTTCCTCCAAAGTGCAAACTAATTCTTCAGTTCAAGCAAAAGATAAACCGGATCCAATAGGAAGAAGTTCAATATGATGTGATTTACTGCAAGAAAAAGATTGGATCAGGACAGGATACATCAGTTACTTAGTTTTTTTTTATAAAATGTAGTCAAGAAATTTCAGAAAATCACACATCTGACTAGTAATCATGGTGAAGCGATGAAACATAACCCTAGTCTGTCAAGGAAATATAGCCCTGTATTTGAAGTAGTAATCCTTAGGCCTGAAACTCTAAATTGACCCAATCAAATCATGTTAAGGGGTTAGTTTAATTAGCCCTGGTAGGATCAGGGGTCGTTTTCTATTTTTCAGGGGGCTACTGTTTTCTTTCATAGTCTGAACCTCTCTATTCTCCTAGAGAGAGAGAGAGAGAGTGGTTTTTGTAAGGGGCCGTTTCTTCGTTCTCTCTTAATACAATGATACGCAGCTCTACTACATGTTCAAGAATAAAAAAAGCAAACCAAAACCACACATTTACAGTTAGTAGACCAAAGAAAAACTATTCTGCATATGTAAATTTAAAATAGAGCAATCTACTTATATTGACCAGAACCCAGGGAATAAAATGGCATAGAAAGCATGTATTTGGTAAAATTCAAGGAGATCAGTCCACAGGGTTGTTTATAGCTTGAAATATACACAAAGAAAATGATTGTAACATGAACTTGTAGAAACAGAACAAAATATGTATCACAGAGACATGCCTGCAGGAGAAACGAAAAGAGGGTAAGCCTTCTTGCATATCTTGTCTTAAACATCATATATATATAAAAATGGATGCAGTACAAAGTTTCACTCCTCAGGTGAAAAACAATCCCCTTCCTACAAAACAGACAACACTCAAAGAAAATATTGACATTCTGTGATAAAAGTTGGCCTTTTTTTCTAAAAAAATGGATTCCGAAGCATATTTGACATAGATATGAAAATGTAGTTAGTGTATTCATTTAGATGTAAGCTCAAATGAGTAAAAATGGGACAGATTCAAACTTCACCCAAATTTGAACTGATTTAGGGTCAATTAAGGTTTTGAACTGAAATAATCTGGTAACTGACTAGTTATGAAATTTAGGCGTCCATCCCATCGACCATTCTAGTTTGATAATGGAATGGAACATTCCAGCATGGCGTTTACGGCCTTCCTACAAGTACCACCTGCGGAGATCACAGTAGCAAACCATGGCAAAAGAAACCCTAGGTACCCAACCCAACAAGCTCAAAGCTTGAAAGGTTTCCTCTACATACAAGCAAATCATCAAGCTTGGGAAGTACTGTAGTGTGTAATATTGGTTACCTCATCCATTTCTATTTTTCCCCCCAACGCGATTTCAGGCAGACCCAGTAGAGGACATGGTACACATGTACACCCGATATCTTTTAAGAAAAAAATCGAAGCTAGTAGTAGACACAATACATGTATACACTTGCAGTAAGATCAGATCCGATTGCATATAACCAAATAGTTCAAGTTAGGGTTTGGGTGCTCGGTTTCCAACAGCAGGAATGGAAGAGAAGGGGCGGCCATACCTAGTACGTGCTCGTCGCCAGCGAAGGGCCCGACCAAAACCTGGGCACCTGGCGTAGAGAGGCGGCACCGGCATGGGCGGCGGGCCCGTTTCGGTGCATTACTGGTTGGTTGGTTGGCTGGTCTTATCTTATCAGCGTGCCTGTCAAGAGCCAAAGAGAGACCCCAGCCGAACGGCTGGCTTATATCCGTTGCCGCACTCCTATCGTCCGTCACTTTCTCTCCTTCCTCCCGTAGCTCATCGCGGTGGCTAGGGTTCGCCGACGCACCGCCTCGGGCCGCGCTTGTCCGGGCGGAAGCTCGCGCCAGCGTGCTCGGCCCGCCGCCCCGGCCCCCAGATCCGGGCTCCGCCGCCTCTTTACTCCATCCTCCCGGTGGGCTCTTTGGGAAAGTGTCGTCTTTCACCTTCGTCTTCGTCTTCATTGTCGACGATTTTGGCCAGCCGAGGTAACCCGGATCCCCGCGCGTCTTCTCACCTTCCCACCTCGAGGCGAACACTGGTCGTCTCGTAGGTTGAGCTCCGCGCTGCTAGGGTTTCCCTCACGCACTCCGGCCTTGGTGACAGTGGGCTCGGCCTTCCTCCCCGGACCCCGCCTCCATCAACGCCGAATCCTTCCACCACGGTAAGCCCCCCACCCGACGCCTCCCACTTTGACCCGTCGGATCTGAGATCCAACGTGTACTCATGTCTCTTTTAGATCTATTATTACCAAACACTAAGTTTGATCTCTTCCTTTTGCTTTTTTGTACCTGCTAAGTTTTCTGTGGAATGCAGTCTTAAACTCCTAATGGTTTATGTGCCTCCTTTGTCATTGTGTGCTTGCAAAATATTAGTTGAGTGCTACAACTAATGTATTCAGTCACTATCAGCATTAAATAGGATTCCATTTCATAGAAGTGCTACTTTTGTGAACAATATTCTTGATATTTTACTATATCAGTAGGAGTTAACATATATAAGTTTGTTCATATCATCATATGTTCATCATATTTGACACTGGACCTTGATTTAATGAGTTTCTTCTATACTTGTATATTGAATGCTAAGTATGGAGTGTTACAACTCATGCTTTTCATTGCATTCAGCATTCAGTTGGTTCATCCAAGTGGTTTGTTATTCTTGAACAATTAATAGCTCCTAGGTTACTCGGATATATATATGTTCGGTGCACTTGTGTCATTTCATTCTCATGCAACTAGCTGTCGAATCATTTTGCTTGCATGGTCCAACTTTTACTAAGATTCTGTTTGGTTTCATTTGCGTTTTAGTCACTTATGACTTTGGGGCATTTCTAAGGGGTTGTAGATTACAAAATGTGCTTACCTATACCAACAATTTTACAATGTTTCAGATTAGGTTTTCAATCTTACAATTGACCTCTATGATTGAACTGCAGACTTACAAGGGACATTTCGTCCGGTTGTGATCAGCGCTGCCCAAACTGGCAGTGTCGTCGGCTTCGTCTTGCTCTCCAACTGGTGGCAAGCCCTACAACCTTTCAAAAGGCCGTAAAACGGCCACATAAGGCAAGTTACGGATCCTGTGCTTTATCTGCTTCCTTTGTTGTTGTCTCCTTTGTGTTCTGTATTTTCTCTGAGGGGTTGACTGTGGTGGACAATTAGAACAGTTCCAATTCACTCCTATAATTCATTTATGGGACTAGTGTTCTAGTTATTTAGTTCTTTGGTTTCCTATATGCTTCCTTCACATTGAGGCAATTAGTATTATCCATGATACAAGAAAGCATTATGAATCCATTAGTACATCTATTCCTGTAGATTTTGCGATCTTTGCATTACTAATAGCTTTGTCGATCCTTGAATCGGATGAGCCAGACCGTGTTGCATGCGGGATGACATGAGCAACCTCTCGCTTCTTGACCTAATCATCCAACCCAGAAAGAGCTCACATCGATTCTCGCCAACGGTCCAACCCAACTAGGTGGACCAATATCACTCATGACTTCAACAAAGTCACGGACCTTGGGTACAACAAGAAAGTGTGCGTAACAAGTACAATTTATCAAAAACGTTGTTATTTAATTTGTTGACTGCCGAGACCCATCTTGGGCTCTGGCCGTGACCATGACCGAGAGAGGTTACAATGACCGAGTTGTACGGCGCCAGCCCCGGGGTACTAACTACAATTTTTTTTTTGAATATTTTGTAGCAATTAGGTTCGTATTTAACTCAATACTAACTTCGACATCACTGCAACACGTGCAGGAAAGTAGCCAACCCGCTAGAAACAAGTTCAAACGGCTCCAATGCTGTGAGCAACTAATCACAATTTTGGGACGCACCCCACGTGACAGGGGCTAGTTGGTATCGGCGGGGGGCCACCGACCCGACAAGTCACCTAGTAATGGAAGCCCTCGCACTCCTCCATCCTTATCGGACCACCACTCGAGCCACCTAGTACTCATCAGCCCTCGAAGAGAGTCCATAGAGAGTTTTCAGTGAACAGTCCCCGCAGCAAGAAGAGTAGCCAAACTCCATCTGTAGAAGAGTGCCTTGAAGACCTCGGCCACTTTCTCAGAGAGGCTAGGTCCCAGAAGGCCCGTCACAAAACCGATCGCAGGAATTGGCCCAAGTCCGAAACATTCTGCTGCAAGATGGTATTAGCGAGGCTGATGAAGTATTCGTGCAAGCCCTGAACCTTTGCAGAGATAGGCTCAGTCGCCAGGGTTTTCTAGACATGGAGTCCAAAGATATCACTGAATGGATCAAAGTGACGTGGGCCTTTGTGTGCTCCAACAAGTCCCACCGATCAAGACATTCCTTTTTTAGAACTTTGTTTATGGATATTCACCATGTGCATGTTGAGTTCATTTGGTTTGTTGTATCCTTATGTTATATTTTTTTTTTTCGTATTACCAAAGACTATTGTTGAGAACTAAGTACATTCTCGTTGTCTCGCTTTTTTCAATAAAAAATTAGTGTCTTGGTGTGAGTGTTGTAAGAAAAAAAGAGTTTTGTAACAAATTAGTGTACTGTTGTGAGTGTTTTGAATAAAAAATTAGTGTACTTTTCCCATGTATGTTCCAACCTGTTTTGAAGGTGCTACCGAGTTCAGGTATCGTCATATGTTCATTTATTTGCACTTGTGTTGTTCCTAATATCGGCATTACAATCTGTCTTATGTATGCCCAATTGCAGTAGAAGATGAGCAAAGATGAGCAAAGACGACGAGTCCTCCTACAAATGACACATCCAAAGGATGGACCGAGCAATGTGATGTGGCAAAGGCAAGCATTTGTCCCTGGTGAAAGGGCTTTCATGTGAGAAAGGCCTGAGGTAAATCCTCCTTGCCCCATTCCTAAGCTTAACGGGAGCCCAGTGGATGCAGCTTACACTAGCCGAAAATACCAGATGTTTAGAGAATTTGCGCATGTCGCGTGATGACTTCATGCATTTGCATGAAACCCCGCT